TTAAATTAAATAATAACAGCATATAAATAAAGAAATTTAATAAATTTAAAAAATAAAAATTCACAATAGAACAGATTTTTATTAACATATTATCAAAAACAGTTCTTTATTTATTTAGCTATTTTTATATTAAATTAAATATTAATGTTCAAGTGTAATAATATTTTGAAAAATTCTGGATAATTCATTGTATAATTATAATTTTTGGTTATTTCAAAGTTTTAATGTAACTTAAAAATGATCTAATGACATTGTAGTTGGTATTCTTCGAACATGATACGATGTCATCTAAAAACTTTTTAGTATTGAGTAAACTATAATGTTTGATAGTTGATAACTCTGTAGGATTATGGTCAGGCTTGTCTGCGTGACCTTTAAGTTCATCTCCATAAAAAATTATCGGTCTTGTTGCATCACAATTAAAAGGAATACAAAGACTAGTGAGAATAGTTGTTAATTCAAATACTAAAATTTCGAAATATTCTTGATTGTAACTATGAAATTTGGTTTCATCTATATTATTTTCGATTTTTGGAATACCTGAGATAAACATTTGAATACTAGAGGTGATTTTAATAATATCAATATCTTTTTCTAGACAAGTGAGCTGCGAAAAATCATCCAACATCTTTAACCAATCATTAGCGAGTTCTTCTACATATTTGATATTTTGTTGTTGAAGGTATGAAAAGTGTTTCCAGGTCAACCTTAGCATAATAATTTTGAATACATTAAAGGTAATTTCGTAAAAAGCTTCGATGAAAATAAGATTATCGAGAGACCAATTTAAACTACGTGTTGCGTCATATAGTTGATAAATCATCTTTGGAATTTTATATCTCCATAACACTTGAACGCAGTAATTACATCTTAAATTTCTAAAAACGGTAGGATTTGTTGTAATATTTTTCATAAGCATATTAGTCTTCTTGAATCTATTAAAATTTATTAGTGGCACCGTTTTAAATATTTTATTAATAAATATCTCCATATTTATACAAGTTTCAATAATCAACTGGCTTAAAAATTTAGTATCTTTTGTTTTGTATTCATCGAACACCAGTTTATTTACATAAAATGTATTAGACGTATCACAATTTTTACTGTCTGATTTCAACATTTTTATAATATAATCATGAGTTTCTATAATACTAGTGTAATCATCACTGTCCCTTGTTATTTCAGATTTATTAACACGATCAGATGTATAAAAAACCACGGAACTTGAATAAAAATTAACTAACCACAAAGCCCCGATTCTATCCTTAGCATTGTCGAATAAAAAACTAATTTGTTTTATTACCTTTTCATTATACAAACTTATGTAGTATGTCACACTAGAAACCAAGATATCGTCACGTTCTAACATTATTTTTGTTATTTCCATATAAGTCAAAGAATTGAACATAAAAGCACACTTCATTTCTTCAAAATTATTAGTTGAATTTATTAAACTATTTTTGTGAGTAGAATCGACAAATATATTTGAACACATTATTATCAAAAATAAGTAAAGCTTATCAACCACATAATTCTTAAAAAATAACATATTAATAATTAAAAATGTAAGCAACTTCAAAAATATTTCTCTCGATTTTTGTCTAACCATTACCAAAAACAAACTACAATGTTTTATATTTAATCGAAAAGAACAGTGCATATGAGTTTTCTTCTTTTAAGTTAGCAAATATTAGTAGTGTATTAAACTTTCTTATTTGCATGAACTAAAATGATACTGCATGTTATATTTACTAAATTAAGCAAACAATATTGGTCGATAAATATAAAGACACAAATTTATTAATTAATTTATTGTGGGTATAACAGTCAAATTATCATTATTGGCAAATAAAAAATGTTTAATAATTATTTTTTTAATTATATCAAAATACTTAAACGGGGTTGCTTTCATACCATATTGATTTACACAAAATTAATGATTTAAAGGTATTATTTTATTACAACTAGATACAAAATGTTACAAATAATAACTGAACATTTTTAATTAAAAAACTACAGTTTAGGAGCAATAACTATTATAGCATATAAAGTATATTTCAATCACAATATTAATTAAATGATTGACTTTATTTTAACTTTTATTCATTCTAATTCTCTAGATGATTAGCTTCATAATAGAATTTTATTGGATTAATATTAAAGAATCACAATTATTTTTATTAATTATATTTTTACCACAGCAAGATACAAATATTTTGTCACTCCTGGCTTTCGAAATTCACTAAAATATATTTACCAATTTTAATATTTTGTTTGCTTGGCTGTTGATCTTCAGGAAAAAATTCATTTATAGATTCATGATTTGACTTAGAATCATTAGTTATGATTTGGTGATTATTCATTTCATCCTCTTCGTCAGTATTAGGCATCCAATATTGATAAATTGCCATTTACAATTTTAAGTAATGCTTCATTTAATAATCCATCATCAAAGTTTTTATAAGTCCTACTGATCCATACATTAATAGTACATACATTTCGTTATATTTAAAATAGAAATAAAATTAACCATTAATTTTATTAGCAGTGACCCTCTCATATCCTTACATGACTAAAATATTCTTACATAATTTTTGTTTAAAATTTATGATAATGGGTCACTAATATTATTAACAATGAAAAATTATAGTGAAATGAAACAACGAATAATTTTGAGTTCTTAATCAATTGCACCAAATAACAAGGTATTAAAAACAGGTCGTATACGTTATCAAAAAATTGTACTAACGTTAAGCTAAAAATTATCAATTATCAAAGTAATTAAACTCGTACTTAAAGTTTTATAAAAACTGGAAAAGCCCCAAATTTTTCAATACTCTTTTTCGATATTATCAATTTATATAAGAAAAACTTAATCATACTAAAATTTATTGAAATACTGGTATAATTATAAACCAATCAATCTATGTAGCATTAGGTGCTATCTAAGTTAAACTAGTTGGATCTTACTGTTATTAAGAATGATACATTAATTATATCTCATTGAGTATCGTTCAGGAACAAATGTTATAATATAGCAGAGCTGCAAAATGTGTTGCTGATACTCAAATATTAGGCGCACATTATTCAACTCGAATATATTAACATAGATATTATTTCAACTCAATGAAAACAATATGTCTAAAATTTCAGTAGTTTACTTAAAACTAGAAATGTTTTAAATGCTCGAAACTTTATTAAAAACTCAGTACCCAGTCTCTTTTATATTATCTGGTTTGTAATTATATTTTCATTCGTTACTGTTGGTACATAACTTTACTATATAAAAAGATTACTTAAAAATCAAATATGACATAATATATTTATTTTTTTTTTTACTATTTTAAAAAATCGAAATATCTTTAATTTTTAGTAAAGTGTAATATCTCTTACAAGAGTCATGCTGTCTGGAAATTAACCATATTTTATTACATAGGGATCACATTGCATGTAATTTATAATTGAAAAAAACGTTTAACACAATAAAAATTTAAATTACGTACGCTAAATTTCAATGAGTCTTTGCTTTATTTCTTAAGAAACCGCTAGCACCCACGTTTCTAAAAAATTGATGGCATAGCTGTCACGCTAAAATTATACCGAGAATTTATTCATTTATCATAGCAATGGAAATAGCTTATTCAAATCATGTTAAAATTTTCTTCTTAAAATACAAAAAAACCTTTGATAAATATTTAAAAAAATGTTCAATAGTGTCATCTGATCTGATCTGTCACATTATAATTTAATACTATTATATTGCTATTAAACAATTCAAATAAATTAATATTTTGAACTTAGTAAGTTCTATAACTGAATTCCAATTTTGATATTAATTAAGTGTTTAATAGTAATTATATAATCTACAGGTTTCATATAAAACCTGACCATTAAGAAAAATTCAAAAATCATGAATTGCAACGAAATTTTGTGAAATAAAAACTTAATATTTGAGTCGGTAGATGGTATCAAAAGTAATAATACATAGGATATAATAATAAAAAAATGGTTTCTTTCCTGAAAAAATACAAAAATGCGCTGAATTTATTTCACTGAACTAAGCCATTATACCATATATGTATAATATATATAAAACAATTAAAATAAAATATATAACACATAATCATTGGCATCCGAAAATTTTTTATTCCAGTTGAGTTTATTGGTGTATTTATTTATTTATTTAAGTGTCGCTTTCATCAAATATTTTAACGGCAATATACCTAAGTTCATACATATGTCAAACATTATTCAACATATCTATTAAATAGACGCGTAAAAGAAATATGTCGGTAATAATAACTTCACCTATTAAAAGTTTTTATATAGAGTTTTAATTTAAAACTCCATATACATGTATTTTGTGTTATTTTTAAATCTTAGAGTAAATAATGCATACTAAAATATCTAAGAAATATTTTGTTGATGACAACCCTATTAATCTTATTTTTAAATTATTTCAATAATCTTCGATGTACTTATGTATCTTAGATATACAACTATTTTACTAGTAGATATCCAGTGACATAGTTAGAGTGAGAGAGGGTGAAAGGGGTTGAGCTCCCCAATCGACATTAATATTCATCTCTAAAATAAAATAATAGGCAGAAAGAAGTTCAAAATATGGAATATTGTAAATTTTTTTACTATGCCCCTGCTGCAAAATTATGAAATCCTATCTAGACCAGTATAATAAACTACTTACTATAAATCAGAGGCGATCACCTATCAATTATAACCTTAACTATGTTATGTAAAAATATTATTTTTTAAAGACGTTAAATGAATATTAAATATTTAAATAGCAAAATATATACATTTTTGTACAGCTTGATAACTTTTCATCAATTGATTAATTCATAACTTTCAACTATAGCGTAACAAAAGAATAACGATTTCAAAGAGACAAGAAACAAAAATCCAAAATATAATGGTATATTATTTATGAAAAAATAACACAAAATTTTGTACTTTAAAGTTTTAATAAAATTATTATTTTTCTGTTTATGTTCAACGTGTTTAAAATTTCACAAGAAATAATCGATAGAAAGTATTGTACAAATCAATCATAATGATGATAATAATAATAACTAGGTATATACACAAATTACAATTTAGGTAAAAAATCATTTTCTGATACACAAAAAATAAAATAATAATAATAATAAAAGTCCTAATAAAGTCTAAAAGAAAAACATTCTAAACATTTAAATAACAAGAACATCGTATAAAAAGTATACATAATAATAAACTGTTATCGATGTAGTAAAATATTTACACGATAAAAAACATATTAATATTAAAATTTTATCATAATGATTTTGGTATAAAAATAATAATAATTTAAATTATAAAAATAAATACTTTGCGATTTCTCTTTTTAAAATGCTATCTTTTGATTTATTTAAAAAAGAAAGGCATTAAAAAAACTGAATTAAAAACACATTAAAAGTCACTGCGAAGCCGTCCTTATCTTTTTTTCTTGTTCCTCGCTTGGGTAAAAATTTTTTTAAAAAAAAGGGAGATAAAGAATTTAATAAATAGATAAAAGGTGAACTCGTGTCCAACCACTCGTAGCGTTCATTAGTCATCCGCCGGCAACGGCATACAGTATCCGCTGTACGTCCTGATGTTCTCTTCGGAGTAGTTCTTGCTCTGTATCACTCCGGCGTCGGTATGGTGAGACGGGCACGCGTGTTCCTGAGGGCACTGACACAAAGAGTTGGTGTTCACCTCGTCCACCATCTCCTGTCTCTTGCGCACGGTAAACAACCGGCACGGTTCTTTCCGCTGACACCGAAGTCTCTGTAAACAACAAATACACACCGTCAAATGTCAGACTTGGCAACACTGCTAGTAAGAGTCACGAGAGCCTTGCAGAATGCACGCAACGATAAAAGCGCGCAAATCAGGCTTTTGAAAACCTTTCGGTGGCAATTCATAAACGCTAACAACAACTGTAGTCATGTTACTTACGCTCTGAGGAGAACAAGCGAAGGAATACTGGTAGCCGATTTGTTTAGACTCCGTCTGGTAAGCTTGTCTTTTCAATAGGTAAGCGACGGAACCCTTTGGACAGTGACAGTGAACTGTCTGCAGCGTACCGTTGCCCTCACTCCGCAACGTCCAAGCCATGTCGCGGAAGTAGCGGCATTTGGGTAACATTTTAATTGGCTCGCACAACTAAAGGAAGAGACAAAAGATTATTTTGATGAAAAATATTCAGTAGTTTAGACTGTACGGCTATTTCAGCATCGTTTGTATACAAGTTTAGGTATGTAAAAGAGACGATTGTTATCGTGAACGAGGAGGAACAGTGACAGCACACAATCTATTGAGCACAGTTAAGACTCGCAGGGGTTTTAACTTACCTTAAACTGTCTGGTCTTGTCAGTGATGGTGTGTCCATCAGCCGGTGACAACATTTGCGAGCAAGGAGCAGTGCCAGGCGGACACCTGCACTGCCTCTCCACCCACGGCCACTGGTACATGTCCACCTTGCTGCATACCGCCCACTTTTCGCACACCGGCAGCTCGTCCTCAGAATTCTAAAAAAAACCATAAAGTGCACCTCGATTAATGTTGCGCACTTTCAAATAGTTACGAAACAGCGTCATAAAAAAAACAACAACAATGTAATTACAACAATAAAATATGATTAGTACTATCGGCGCGCGTAAGGTCCACGCCCACATCCTTCGGCGGTTCGTCAGGGGAAGTGACGGAACAAAAACGCTGCTGCTGGCCATGCACGTAATAAAAAACAAAAAAAAAAAAACTACTCCACTAATCCCGTACTTGAACGACAGAGACCACCGCCGACGGGGTCGTGTACCAATGACCGGTAGTGTGTGGTCTGAAACCGATGGCAGAGCATAAACGTCGAATTGAAGCGCAATCACAAAAATACCCTCGCTGTGATCTGAACACGGTTGTTGCGAGACGGACAAATGTTTGTGCTTGAAAAATGTGAAAATGTTAATAATTAGAACCGACCGATGAGGCGCAGAGCACGTTCCAGCCTAGTGTGTGGGGTTATCGGATGAAAAAAAAAAAAATAAAAGAACATCTAGCTGGGTATTCGACGGGAGTCGTACTTATTCTCTGTGCAGTCCGTCTAGTATTGTTGGACGCGTTAAAAAAAAAAAACCCTAACAATACAGACTGCTACGATAAAGACTGTTTTACACGTCGCTATTCAAAGTCCACGGTGTGGTATCGACAGGCTCGCTCGGTTGCTTTTCACTAGAAAGAAAACACGTCAAAGTTCAACAGCGTACGCATAACATTTCCAGTGTCGAGCCACACACATCAACTAATACACAATGAGACGGCACTCGGAGTTTGGGTAACACAATGTGCACGCGTTAGCCGTACAAACAAACGAGAGAAAACCACACGGACATCCCAAGCACCGGATAAGACAATTGTTGTTATTGAATTCTTCGAAATGCGACCGCCGTCTGACGAGAAGGAGGCATTCTCGTAGTCCGCACAAACACTCCTTCAAAAAACTGGAACATCAATCCTACACACACATCGTCACGAGTATATACTCCGGTCTAGAGTTGAGACTTTTGGACGAAACAGCGTTGTGCTGCAAGTGTAATGATGAATTTTACAATATGGTATTTTGGTCTCGCCCCCGCGCACCTAAACAACTGTCGAATAGTGTAAAACCTTAGATATTGTTAAATAGAACTTATTTTTCGAGGAAAAAACTATGCGTCAAAATATTCGTGTACGTAACGCAAAAGTAAATTTAAAATTTAAATTGCGACCGAGGCCAGTTATATTAATGTTTTTCTTTTCCGCCTAAAATAACTGGTGTTTTTTTAGATGTTTATCGACAGTCTTCTCCAACCCGTGTAAATGCTAGTTTATTTTTCCATTGTTTATATTATTATTCAATCTATTCGAACTACTTTAGAAATTATTATCTGTGAACAAGAAAGTAAACGATGAATAGGCGCTGTAATAGAATATGTTTCGTGCGACAAATACACGCCGTTAGGCTTTGCGATGAATATACATGAACGATAAAAATACACGTCTCGCATATATTATCGTAAAACACATTTAAAAAAAGTTGGTGGACGAGTAGGTGCGATTACAGCTTGGGCTATGGAGACAGCGATGACGAAGGAGAGGTTGTCGAGAAATTATTTAGATTATGACAGAAAACGTGTCGTGAACCGGGACTAAGTTTGTTCTGAAAAAAAAAAACACATTCAATAATCAATATCCGATTTCAGTGTTATTAATTGTTTGACAATCGACCAGAGTTAAAGTTCGTCTCGGCGGCAGTTGCATTCAACGCTGCAACAACAATTTACTCGACTACAGGTTAATAGAACTAGTGTGTTGAAATATTGTTAGCCAGAGGAAATCTCATTAACGGATCAGGAAACACAATGCTCTCCATTTGTACGCTATCATTAAATTACAATTTATAATGAGAAAAGAAGATGTGACGGGGATCCTGTTGGATTCAGTATAACATTCAACGGACGCGGAGGCAAAACCACAGTGGTGCGTTTACATCCTCGAGGACTTGTTGCGTTTCTTTCCATACAAAAGAATTTCCGTGTTTGTATTCAATTGGCGTACAAAGTAATTAATGAAATACGAGTTAATAACACTGGGCAAAACAAAAACAAACCGACGCAACGTGCAACAGATCGCAATGCAGTTTACACACACGGCATTGCAACGTGACGGCTAAAAAAAAAAAATAATTTGATTTCTATAGAGCAAATCGTGAGGATTACGCAAGTGTTTTTTTTTTTGTCTATGACGCGCATTGCGATTCGACGAATCACTAGCTGCACTTGATAAGAAAAATAATCAACGCACAAAAAACCCGGCGGCGGTAATTGTATTATTCGTTTCAAATAATTATATTATCTTTCGATTGGAGCGAGTGAATAAAAGCATAAAGAACTCCTCGTGATTTCTGCTTATTTAAACCGACGACGGCTTGTGTTTTGTAACGTTATCAGAGGTCATTGGAGAATTGCGTAATGCCGTCGACAAAAAAAAAAGTCCATTACAATATCTGTTGTGCGTACACTCGGACCTCGGCGAGTAAAATATTTTTAAACCTTTTTGAAACGTATTAAAGACTAAATAAATACAAAGCAGTCGACAGGCGGCCAACATTTTCATCGGCTCTCGTCTAGTGTTCTTGTTTACTACTATCGATTACTCGTATCGGACGTCGTCGTGTAATAAAATAATAACAATTATTATTATCCGGTACGGTAGATGCGTACAATGTGCGTGTAATAATAGAACGTTACGTTTTTATGTGCTGCACTGGGGGAACGTGACGAATTCGGAACTGAAAAGGCATACCAGTTTATTATTATCTGCCCAATTCGACATTTTTGGTAGTATAAATAAAATAATAATAAAATATTATAAAAAAAGAAACTAGTTTAACGGCCGTCGCCGCATGTGGTTGAGTCGGATGTACATAATACTCTGCTGTCGTTATTCGATCGGTTGAACAAATCAAGCCGAGGGAAAACCGATAACGGACAAAAAATAAATAAATAAACCAGATAAAAATAAGAATGCTAGCGTATACGAGATAGTAAAGTCACCGTTTGGTAATGTTTTTTTTTTTTATCGATACGTCGAAACGATTTGGAAAAAAAAAATTAGGTAAAATGAACATCGAGACGTACCGACCGACACGACAAATTAGAACGTCCAAAGGGCTGTCCCGACAGAAAATCGGACTGTGCACAGCAGAATAGTCGTCGCAATAGCATCGGTTGGGTTGAGAAATACGTTTTTGCCGGCACGAAAAAATGGGAAAAAGTAAAAACGACGCGTTCTCGACCACGTCGCCCCGCAGTGGCGGCGTACGCGATCGCCGTACATTGAAACGTCGTCACCGTACGGATTCATTGATGACAGCGGCAAAGAGTCTATGAATGGGCATGTGTAAAACTACTACGGACACATGGACGGCGGTAGAATACGACGCCGCGGCCGTTGTCGAGGAACGGCGGTGCCGATTGCCCCGTCCGGGACACGACGTCGGGGGGAGTGGGACCGTGGAAACCGTCGGTCCGTGACGGCGGCTAGAGGGAGTGAGATGCTGTCGCACGTGACATTCCATTCACCAAACGACCGCCGCGCGCGATCCGTCTTGACCGGTTTTGTGCGGCACGGGCAGTGCGGGGTCGAAGGGTTTCCGTGCCGGCCGTTCGTTTTAAACTGGTTTGCCGCCCTTTAACCTCCCCCCGACCGATCACCACCGTAACACAACGATGATGATGATAATAATAATAGTAGTAATGCGACGGGCTCTATAAATAATTGTACGATTATTATTGATATAGCAATGGCGGCGGTGTGCGTGGCATATAACAACCGTAGTAATGGCAAACGTAACGTCGCGGCGAACGTTACACGTGATGAAACGTGCGAAAAATGACAAACCGGAAACGTGTCGTTTTTGCATAAGCGTTTCGTGCGCGGGGGCTGTACAATGGGACGAAAAGGCGGCTTAAGGGATCGTGGGAGAGTTTGGAACAACAATGGCGGGGAGATCCGACGGAAACACGGCACAACAACAGATCTATTCATCCGGTACAATGGCCGGGGGGAGTTTGGGCGTTAACACCGGGCACGGACGAAGGAATGCTGCTGCCGTCGGCACAACAATATCGCGGGACTCCGAGTTTTGCCGTGTTTCCTCCCCTCGTGTAACCTACACCGGGTCCACGCGCGGACCTGCACGTGGCCTTACCGACAGGTTAATGTCGATGCCGGTGGCGATTCATCATGACCGCGGAGTTAAAAAACTGCCACAGAGTTCAGATCCCAGTAAATTCGCACGTGTAACGTCTCTCGTGTCGGCACAGTAACCACTTGGAAAACAAATACACAACGAGTCGCTACAACGACAACTAGTTTTTTACGAAACACACGACTGTGAGTATAACCGAAGGAATTTGTCAGTTGCCGTTTTATCTTTCGAATACACTCGTCCGATTAACTACAGAGTATAAAAAAAAAAAAATTTAGCAATAATACATCAAAACGTGAACACATACGGACACGTGTATGACAACAAAGAAACATTTCGTAAATTATAACTCTTTACGTTGTTTTTTTCGACGGGACTCCGCCAGCGGATTTTTCGTCACAACCGAATCTTCTGCCACAGATACAAGCAAACCTCCCCGACCGTCAACGACAACTTCTAATTAACAACGCGTTTTCATTGAACGGATCTGTGGAATTCGAGTAAGGGATGATGGCGGCTCTTCGACAACCGTTCCAAATCAGCGGTCTGTCAGTGTTTCATTACAATCAGCGCCGCCGCATTACACGCGCGATTCGGCCGAACGTGTAGGTTCAAAAGAGATTTGCGTACAGGTCATAAGACGGTAATAACATATGCTACCCATACTAATGGCGTTTGATTTTTTTATAATGTACGAGCGTAGCCATGGCGCCGGCTGTCGCGTTGTTATACGTCCAAATAAGACATTTCGCCACGCTCTTCTCGGGTGCAATTTAAATTGAC